TTTTTTAAGATGCAGTAATTTATTTATTTATTAAAACAATTCATAATCAGTTAAAAATAAACATGAAAATCCTCAAATAATAGAGATACAAAAGTAGAAAAAATAAAAAATGCTGCCTAAATTTTGATTTTGGATTAGCCTATTATGAAATATTTGTAATCGTATTTTAAAATCCGAACTCTTTTATTTAAAGTAGAATTTATTGATTGATAATTTTAGCCAATAATATTATTTGCAATTATCTTGAGATTGGATGATCTGAAATTAATGACTGTATCTCATTAGATTCGTCTAGTCACAGGAATCGAATGGTAGTTATATCATATGAATCAGAGTAATATTGACTGAGATCGTTCATCCTTTGTTTTTTTTGTTTTTTCTATATATAAAAAATCATGTATGATGTCATTTCAACCATTTCAACTTTTTACCTTCAATAGTCGAAATGATTTTGATTACCTCTCTTCGGTATATTTTTTTCATTTTTTTTTTCTAAATTATTTGCTCACAAAAGTAGGCATCAAGGGGTATCCCAACTGACGATCACAATTAACATACTTTGGATACACAAATCTGCGTGATGACATCCCTATTCCTTCATAAACGGCAATACTTTTTTTTACAAATCTTTGACGTCGAAGATTGCGGAATCCCACGCAATATTTTTCGGACTTGACCGACTGTGTGATTTGGGTCTCATCCTGTGTCAGGGGTCAGCTGTAATCTGAATTGACAGATATCTTAGCATTGGAAGTGATAGTCCGAAGAGCCTCTATTATAATTTAATAATATGGACGCATCTGTATTAGGTGGTCACTGTAATCTGGAATTGACTAGACAACTTAGCTAAGAACTTAGTAGAGTCCCCTTATGTTGCTTCTTTTTGTAAATTCTTTAGCGTAAATGGTCAGGTTTCATAAATACTTCTTCAGAAAATATGTCACCATTAGTTGAAGGGTTACATTTTTGTTTTTATCGGGAATTTACTTTAGAAAGGAGATAACGAAGTAGTATTGACCATGGTTTATTTCTATCCCCTGTAGAAGACAGTAGTCATTATGCATGCGTATAGTAGGTCTATTGAAGGGGTTGGTGATGCTTGGTCGACTCAAATGGACTTGCAATATAGTTACGAGAAGTAGTTAGTCATTTGTTTGTTAGTTTTTAATTTTACTATTATTGTATTTTTGTATAAATTAATAAAATGTACTGACAGTACCACATCGTTAAAACATAAAAAAAATGATTTTGACCATTTTGACCATTTTAGATATCTGAAATAATCTATTTTGACTTCATGTATAAACATCACCATTAAATTAAAGCATTACTAGTCACCATTAGACTATGTAATCACTACAGGAAAAGATTAAAACAATACTATAAATACAAAAAAAACTACCCAAAGAATAAATTGAGTAAATCATGAAGTTACCATCAGATTGTAATATTAGGTTATAAAATTAGTATCAGATTACGTACTTAGGTTATGAAGTTATTATTATGTTATGAAATTACTAATAGGCTATAAAGTTAACATTATGTTATGAAGTTACCTATAGACTATGAAATTACTATTGTGTTATGAAGTTACCTACAGACTATAAAGTTACCATTATATTATGAAGTTACCTTTATAATCTAATCTAAGTCACATATGACTAGTGACTTGATGAATATTTATCTTGTGATTCTCACAAAAGCTCATCATAACAAAGATCATTGCAAATGGACTTTTATTGTAATTACAAGGCATTTATTGTATTTTTTATAATAATTTTTGTTTTTCAATTCAATCTAATAAAGTTATGATATGATATAAGTCGTTAAAAAATGATTTTAAACATTTCAATTATTTTAAATATTCAAAATAATCCATTTTAATTTCATGTATAATCATAATATTACGAAGGTTTGTAAAGGTTACAGCCTATATGAAGGTTTATAAACTGTAATATTATAAAGGTTTATATTTAAACGTAGCCTTGCATAATATTTATAATTCAAAAATATAAAAGATTGTGTAAATTTGCGAAAGATTACGAAGGTTACATAATCTTGCAAAGGTTTATGCTTAAAATTTTTCATAATGTTGCTATTAAAAAACTTAAAAATTGAAGAGCAAATGGAAGTTAGTAAAAGTATAATGAAAAGAACCTTGTATTAAAATGGGTTAAATGCAAGAATTAAGCATAAAAAGCCATATCTTAAAAAAAACATAGAATTGCTCATGAAATTTGCAAAAAAATATCAATCATGGATATCAGAAGATTGAAGCAAAGTTATTTGGTCAGACAAGTCAAAGTTTATGATATATGAATCAGATAGCAGGAAATATTGTTAGAAAAAACCAGGAGAATCTTTAAGAGATCACCATGTCAAACCTACAATAAAATTTGAATAGAGTAGTATTATAATATAGGGATGTTTTACATCTGGTATTATTGGTAACATTTGCCAAATTTATGGTCATATGAATGATGATTTATATGTTAGGAACCATCAAGTGGCATGGGATGGATAAACACAAAATCAAGTATGGGATGAAATTCAAAAAATCTGGGTTGAGTTAGGGAATGATGTATAGGAAGTTGGTTGATACCATGCCAGCTCGTATAAATGATGTTATTAGGGCGAATGGAGCAATTTATCAAAATTTTTGTGTATTCGGGGTTTTTTATTGAGATTTTAATATATAAAATAAAAAAATTTAAATAACGGTCAAAAGAAAACCATCGCATGTTTGACCAATATTATTAAAATATTTTTGTGACGCTATGAGCATTGTATCGCAAAGGGCATAAATTTATTGGATGCTCTTCGGTTAATCAATTATATAAATCTAATATAAATGTGTGATGTAGCATTTACAAATCAGCACCTTTTTTTCTGTTGCATTTTATTAAATAAATGTTAATTATATCATAAACTTTAATGATACTGCTACGTTTAATATATATACCAGTAAACGTTTCATATAGTAAATCATATGATCCTTGACTAATAAGAAATGATCATCATACATAAATATTTTAATTTGGATTTATAGATTAATTATCTAATGGAAGAGCCTAAAGTTTTAACATTTGGTTCTATTAATATTGTTAGTATAATACTTTGCTTTTGAAATTAGATAATTTTTGTTGGGAATAACCTTCATTTTGCTTCTAATTAATTAGGACGAGTTTTTCGAAGTTCCTCATATAGTTTCAAGTGGAGAAACTATAACAAGCAGTAAATATTCTCAAAAAGCTGGAGGAAAAGGTATTCATATATCATATATTTTGCTATTTACTATACGTTTGTTAATGATTTTCTTTCACAAATTAGGTGCAAATCAATCAGTTGCTTTAGCGAAGGTTTTAAAGTTTGAATTCAATATTTAAATTATCGGATTTGTAACGAAATTTCTCTAATTAAGAGTAATTTTCTAGGCGGGTGCATTGGTATGGCATGCAGGGAAAATCGGACATGATGGCACATGGATCAAGGAATATATGAAAGAATTTGGAGTTAAAGTGGATCATATCATTATTTCGGAAGATCAGGTAACATTCATTTTATTTTGAAAAAGAAAAAAAGAAAAAAATGTTGAATCGTTGCTAACTTAAACTTTTTTTATTCTAGCCAACGGGACGCGCTTTTATCCAAGTTTCACAAGAAACCCGAGATAATTCTATTGTTCTTCTTCCAGGAACCAATCACATGATAAGTTTGAACGAAGCACGTAATATTTTAAACTGGGAATTTGGAATAGGAGATTGGGTTATAATGCAAAATGAAATTGGACAAATTGGAGGCGAAATTTTGAAACTCTGCAAGGAAAAGGGTATGCCGATTTTCCATTTCAGCTTGCTTTTCATATTCATTTTCCTTTATATGTATATATTTATTTATTTTAGGGCTCACGATCGTTCTCAATCCAGCACCAATTTCTGAAAATATCACCAGTGTATTTTCATTTAATCTCATAGATTATTTAATCGTTAATAAATTAGAAGCTTTTCAACTTTACAAACAAATCAGTGAATCTAATTGCGATGATAAAAATATTTCTGCACACGATTTACTTACATTTATATCAAATGAGTATCAACAAATTATTGGAATCATCATCACTTTCGGAAGTGAGGGACTATATGCGTGGTATAGACCAGAACAAAGAATTTTTAACCTGCCCGCATTCAAAACGAAAGTTTTGGATACGACAGGGGCAGGCGATACGTTTGCAGGATATTTTATAACTAGTATAGTTCGAGATCTAAAATGTAGGAAAGGTGACGTCTCCAACCTTTCAATTCCCATCACAGATGTGAATTCTTCTATGATTTTACCAACAGCGGAAGGTTTTCTAAATGCATTGAAAGAAGCTACCATTGCGGCAGGTTTGGCTGTTGGTAGACTTGGCGCAATGGAAAGTATTCCTTCATTTAATGATGTACATAGAAACAAAACCATATTTGATACCGAGCTGCGGAAAAGAAATCAGCTTATTACATGATGATTTCAACACGAATATACATAGAGGAACACAGTGTATGTTCTATACATCTTTGGAATTTAGATAATTATGAATTCCAAATAAATTTAAATTTTTAATATTTTAAATTCAGACTAATCTAATATTTTCATATCTCATTTTCTGTATAAAAATCTTGTTATTTAACTAGGAAACAGAAACTGTTAAAAATGTCTGAAGCTTTTGAAACTGCGATAATTATATAATTTAAATCACCGCTTCTATTTATCACTTTACTTAAAATAAAAAAAAAACTTTGGAACTTCTACATAAATTAAGGCTTATTTACATTTCAATATTCATTTTTTTTTTTTTAAAGAAAAAAGAAAACGATATTTTTATTATTTATCAATTATTATATTAATTAATTATATCACATTTTATAAATTTATATACATCTTTTTTTCTAAACAAACAAATATATAACATCGGTGCCATCAATGGCAGTGTCAGCATCATTAAGCACGAACCCTCAATTGAATTAATGTAATTTGCCTTTGCCTTTATTCTTTTTCGAAATGCTTGGTTTCGAATCTCCCAAGTCATAAGTTGGTAATACTTCGTGCAATGCCTTGATCAATTTTTTGTTCGGTCTGAGTTTAAAGTCAGCCGGAAACTCAGTTCTACATTGAGGACATTTTTTACCCATAATTTCAATACTTCGAGAAAGACATTCTTGGCAAACATTGTGAGAACAAGCTGTAGTGACAGGCTGATCAACCAATCCAAAGCAAACAGGACATTTGAACTCCTTTTCAGATATTATTTCAATCAATTCATTGTGGTTTTCGAAATTTGATTCAAGAACAGTAGTCCAAGCTCGTTGATTATCTTTATCATCCTTTATAAGCTTCTTAAAAGTGGTTGAGATCTCAAATTTTTTGGCTTTTTTTGATTTTGCACCGTCTTCATCACCAGAATCATGTGCACGTTTCTTTGGTTTTTCTTCATCATCTCCCACGTACATTTTCAAACCTAATTCTTTAATTCGTTTCTTTCCTTCTTTGGTCCATGGAGCCGGTTCAGGATCGTCACGACGCATAAGAAATCTCCAAACTTTAAATCCGGATGTCCCTTTCTCTGGCCAATATTTAACCAGCTTATAGATTCCATCATATCTAATCCCTTCTTCTGGTGCAAATGTTGGATTATGCTTTGCTAATTTGGAGGAGCGGCAGACCCGGACCGGTAAGCTCTTTTCCCAGTTTTTCGCCTGTCCTCCATTTTTATCATCAATCGAAGTATCACAAGTTCTTGCTAAAGCTTCATTCATTTTAATCAGCTCTTGATCGAACGTCTGAACTGCAATTCGTTTATTACCGGTTTTGAGATCTCGACCACCACAACCAGTATAGTAAAATTCGTCACCATTGTCCGTATCTTCAGGGTATCCACCGCTAAGTACAATAGAAACGGAACCAACGCTGCCCTTTCCGGCAATTCCAGCAACTGGTGGACGATGAACTCCTGCTTCAGAACAAAATATCCTGTATTTCCAAGATGATCCAACTGGAACGCCCGGGATCGGTCCAAAGTGGTCGGGATCCACTATTTCGCATTTTCTGGATAGCCCGACACACGCCATACCTCCTCCCCATTTTTTTGTTTGAGTAGCCGATGGCATTTTTGATTTTCTAGACTTCTCAAGATTCAATCCTTGTCCAGCTAATACAACCCCTTCATTTTTATGTTTGCAATCTCGGCAATACCACTCATCACTTGGAAGTTCCGAGATTGGAGGTGATAAGCAATAGAAATGGAAATAATACTGACATTCATCACATACAATAGTATGCTCGTCATCACCCTTTCCACCGCAAATATTACATCCACATTCCTTACATTTCTTACCCTTATTTTCACAATGATTGCAGACGTACTCCTCTTCCCGTTCAAAATTATTCGGATCGTTCATTATATTCTTTACATTAGATGTTGATGAATTCCCAACATCTTCACTTTCGGCAGGTTGACTTGAGGAATTCACATCTTCATCTTCAACAGGTTGACTAAAGTCAACAACTGGTAAGGAGATATTAACCGATAAAACTTGTGATTCAGCATGTGGGGTTTCTATGACTTGTTTCTTAAGAAGCATAACTGTGTTATTGTGTTTTATGTCATAATGAAAAAGGTTATGCCCATTTTCCAACTGAATATTTGAGGAAAAAAAATATATTTTTATATAAATTTAGGTTAGTATTAGTTATAATTTAAACTGTTATGTAAGGAATATTCATAAGCGTAAAACAAAACTGGACAACGCGTAAAGTATTAGTGCAACGCAAACACGCGTCCATTTCTTTTATTTCTCTGATGCACGATACCACAACCCTTCTTCGTATATTTTACAACTTTTTAATACGCGTTTTTATGTTTTCTTACCTGTTTGCCACCAAAAAAAAGGCGTTGCTTTTCAGGTGAATATTTGTTGCGGCCAAATTGTTCAGCAATGAGGTCACGTAGATGTTCGATATTATCAGTTGGGGTACATGAAATTTTAACTTTATCGTTTCTTTCGTTTGGAGCGCTGATAAAAATATGCATTTTGAAAGTCAAGTCTTAAAAAAGTCTTTGAAAGAAAAGGTTAAACGCGTAAAATTCTATTTTATATCAAAACCAATACCCCTTTTTCTAGTTTCCATAAAACTTGAAATTTGTTATGATTTTGCACCACGGTACTTCTGCATGTTCGCATGTATTTATGCCTTAAATGTAAATCACCCATTCTAAATTTCCGTGCTACCTTTCTATCGATGATAAAGCGGAACCTGTCGCAAAGATAAACGCCAATACAGGTAAATATATTAATTTGTTGATTCCAAAAAAGGAAATGACGGTGACATTAGGAATATCAGGAACCAATAGATTTTATCGGAGCCAATAAAAAAAAACTACTGAAATCATTTAAAATGACAACGTTAGAACAATTAACAAAAGCTGAAAATACATTAGAAGAGGCGGAAAGGGAGTTAAAGAAATTCGAGGAAGGTGAAAAAGAAAAATTGTTGAATGACTTGGAAGTGAGATTATTGAGAAAAGGGTGGGATAATGAAGAAGAGAAGGAGGAATGGAGGGACCGGAGAGATGAATTGAAGAAAGATAAGAAGTTGTTGAGGGAAAGGAGAGACAAATGGGAGAATGAAGTGTTGGAATGCAGAAAGATTCTACGTGAAGGAAAAGGTAATGAACAAATTGCGTAAAAAATATACAAAAATTATTTTCATTCATTCCATTTCGTTTATTTATTTATCTATTTGATATACTGGTTACAATGTTTTCTACTTTCACAGGTTAAGCATTTCTAACTTATAGTCACCATTTCCATTTCTAATCTAAATTCGGTCTTATTAATTTATATTACTTTTACAGATCAAAAATTAACAGTTAATGAGCTTAAGCGGAAACTTGAACCATACATAATTGAGGGAGAAAGTCATCTTCGTGAATCATTATGTGGTTCTTCAGCTCTTCCTGATGATGTTTTAGATATTTCGATGTATTTAAAATTTGTGAATCGTGAGAATGAGATCAAGCAGTTGATGGGAAACATGAAAAATCTTCATGTTCTTATTAAAAATCTCAAAAGTTATGCCGAACCAAAGAAACAAATTGCATTCCCTATCGCTGTAGGGACAGCAGGGAAGGGGAAAACTACATTTGCAAGAAAGGCATATGATAAAAGAAAGATTTATGCTGATGGCATATCGGATGAACTTCAAATGATTTTAGATGATTGCTTGGATGCTGGTCGATCTTTTCGGGTTTCATGTGATAGTATGGATATTGAAGAGTTTAAAAACCCTGAAATGGTTGAGACATTATTTGGAAAAAGTTTGCTTTATGAAGCTTTAAAATATCATCTGAAAGGGTAGGACTTTATATATGTTGTCTCAATCTATTTGCAATATTAATAATACACTTATACTTAATTGATTATTTCTAGGATTCAAAATTTCGATGAATTTTGTAAAGTTATAGGAAATGATTTGATCTCTCTTTGTGAAGTTTTAAAAACAATCCTAATTTACAAACCAAGTGAAGAAAACTTGTCTTTGCCTCTCTTCATTATTAATATAGATGAAACAAATGTACTTTTTGAGGGAGGCCAATCCAAGTCACTTCGAAAACTTTTAAGTATCTTTGCAAATCTCATTTTATCAAAAAACTTTATTTTTATTATGTTAACAGGAACGCATGCAAGCTCTTTATTTGATTCAATTACATCTTCTGGTGCTCGTATTGAAGAAATATCACTGCCATTACTTAGTTCAGAACATGCACAAGAAGTGATCTTAGATTTAGCAAATCGGGTAAGATACAATTTTTGCATTGAAGTTTGTTACTGAATGATTTGATCCTAGTTCTAAATTCAAATCATTATCGTTTCTTTTTAGAATCAAGAAAAGTGAGTATTAATTCATTGATTATATATTTTATGAGACCTACAAAATTAATATTTGATTAAAATCAGGAAAGTTGGTGAAATTTCTTCAAATCTAAAACATATAATCAGTCTTCTTGGTGTTGTTGGTCGTTATCTAGAAATAATGATATTTGAAATGGCTATCCTTGGGTTCGGTGCCAAGGGGAATAAAAATACATTGGAAACAAAGTTTTATCATGAAGGATATCGTTATTTTTTGGTAAATTGTCAATATGATCATAATTATTGTACAACTCTTCTTAGAAGAGTGAAAGATAAGCTAAATAGAGTTTATTCACGTTACTACAATGCATACACATCACAAGAGAATATTGAAATTATCCCTCAATTACTTGCATATACTTTATTTGGGTGGAAAGTTACTCGAACAACTACATTAGGAAAAAGAAAGATTCAGGTAAATTTACTTAGAATATTAATGGTTACATGCAAGTTATTTATTTTAATTTATGCTTTTTTTTCACAGGATTTGGAAATAGATGAGTTGATTTTCCTGAATAAAGATAAGTTTGTACTCCCATTTCTCACTTTACAGCAAGTTTATCATCATTTTGATCACAGCAAGTTGCCAGCTATTAAACTTCTTCAGTCTGTAGAAAATACACTTTCATCAGATGAAAACGAGGCACTGACATTATCAATAATGGTTTTTCGTCTGTGGGGAATATATTATAAATCTATCAGTGATAAAAAAATTATTGAGGGTCAAAGAGGAAGTTGTTGGCTTTCTGATCTGGTTCCATTGCGGAAAGGACAGTCAGATAAATTTATTGAGTTTGAACCCAAATTTGTTATACATTCAACTCCTTATAGAGTTGATAAAGACTATTGGATTCAATTTTTTAATAATTATTCAAAAGAATTGAATAAGAAATGTATTGCTTTTCACAACCTGCCAAATGCATCCTTTTCAGATGGAATCATAATTACAGATCCACCTATATTTATTCAAGATAAACAAGAAGTTATCAGTCGAAAAAAAGAAATCATTGGACATTTGCCAAATATTCTGGGTAAAGGAGTTGTAAAATTTGAACATAAAAAGGTATTAGATGCAAATGTTGGGGAACATATTTTTGTTTTTATCACCGGTGCTCATGCACGTAATGATGAAACTTATTATAATAATGAAGTTGTGATAACTTCAGAAAATAGAAGTGATTTTTATGGAGATATTTTAGCAAGAATGAAACTGTATTCTATTGGGCGAAGTTAATTTGATATACAATATATTGTAATATTCAAAATTATGGTTTTTTTTTATCTAATAGATTACAATTTATGCTAGCTTATATTTTTCTTTAATAGCTTATATATTGTTTGATTATTATTTTTTTTACAATGTGGTTACTAATTAAATGTAATATAAGATACAAAGTAAAAAATAAAACAAGAATAATAGAAAAGTATTAGCTATTTCTTATGATTATTTTCAAACCTATTTAAATTGATCTATCATCATTTTTTCCTTCAACAGATCCACTAAATATATATCTAACAATTAAAGTTATACTTATTATAAATATGAAAATGAGTTATCATATTTATCTGCTAAATAGATTCAAGTTTCCCAATTATTATAAATGTGATACTTGGTAAGATGAGTCAAAATTTTATTGGCATTTCATTTATTTTTGTTTTTTTTAGATATTTCTAAAGAGTTTTTTTATTATTATTTAATAATTTATAATGGTATTTTCAAATATTCTTATAAAGATTTTCATAAAAAAGAATGTAAATTATGAGGTGATTGAGAGATAGATATTTATTCTTATTTCTTGACATTTTGTAGATCAATTTTACCAATGAAAAAGAAATGATAAGTTTGATGATATTAATGTATCTATTATTTTGTAAGGTATATTTTGCAAAGGTTTAATAGGAAATGCTAAGAAGATCTATTAGAAGAGATGTGATTATTAAGCTAAAATAATCATGAATGAGTTTAATTAGATGATTTTTAGTATGATAATAAAAAATAATTATCTTATTAGAATAGACTAAGTAAAACCAAATATAAAAAATATTTTGATAGGTATTATAATCAATACAATTCAAATTTTTGTATAAATCTGATCAAAATTATTTAAGTCAAAAAAGAACTAAAAACTTATTAATAAATTTTTAATGATAAATATTTTTAACCTTTTAAAACAAATGAAAGTGATCATAAAAAATAAGTTTATAATTAAAACTTTTCAAATAGCAACCCAATCAATAAATAAGATGCTTATAAGAATCTTAAATCTGATTTCTATTTAAAGAAAGAAAATTGCTAAATATGCTTATAGAAAAGAGTTTTTTGAAAAATTATAGATTGATAATTTGATAAAAATATTATTGAATTGAAAGATAAGATTCTTTTATTAATACTAAATAGTATCCTTTAGATTGTCTAGCAGGCAAATTTGCCTGCGAAATTAAAAAAAATTGTTAATTTCTTTATAAAATATTAAATATTAA